CACACACACACACACACACACACACACACACACACTGCCTGACAGCTGACAACATCCAGATGGCACAGGGAGGCAGCAGCGTGGATTTATGAGTGTGTGTATTTGAGTCCGCTTGTGCCTTTACACTGAATGTGACATCAGATGATGTGTGTGTCTACAGAGCACAGGCGAGCGTGGATGTGGTGTGAGGTGATGTGTGTGTGTGTGCATTTTATTAATGTTCACATACCAGAGAGCAAAGTGTGTAGGGGTTGAGTCTGTGCTAGGTGGTGCATGGTTTGTGTCTGCAAACATCCTGCAGCTTCCAAACCTGTCTACATGTGAGTCTGCGTCTTTTTATTCATACCTTTCTAAACTCTGGTATTTTGAGTGCTTGTTTTCCAATTTATATTCATGAAAAAATATTCTGCATCTAACCTCCAGAGACACTGCATCCTKATGTTGAGGACTTTCAGGGGGACTAGTTTTAATATTAATTTAAAGAAAAACTATACATATACATTTTATCATCAACACTGTTTATCTGTTTCTGAGGTTCTACTAATCCTAAATAGCTAAGGGAAATTAAAAGCRTACGTCAAGCAGGAGCTTGGACCTCAAGGAYAAAAGTGTGGCCAAGGGGAGGGGCYATTTTCTCCCCCATCCTTAGTGGCACACCTGTCCACATGATTCTAACACATTTGCAGGTTGAAACATGCTGCGTCTCTAGGTGGTGAGAGCGTCCAAAGTAGCAACATATCAAAAAMCAAAACATTTTTAGCTTAAACTTTGGTGTCACGGTTCAGGACTATTCAGCTAATGGCCCATGGACCAATTCTGGCCAGTGGCTGACCTTTTGGCCTGCCAAAGAGCTCATTAAAATTAAACCTTTTTTTAGACTTAAATGACAAATATTTCAGTCAGAGTGGCAATTCAGTTATATAGAGGATCTTTGACAGGAATACGCAACTCAGTCTCTGACTTTATTTCATTTATAAATAGATTTTACATCTTAAGAAAATAATGCATTATTCATTTTTATGTTTAAAATCTAATTTGTTTTAATGTAAATTTTAAATTGGGGAAAATAGACTATTTAAGAGCTGGAAGTCTGGCCCCTAAGCAACTTATTTGAATGAGTCTTGCCTAAATAATGTTTCGGTCGTACTTCACTGTCTGTGTCATGATTAGATACAGGTTTGGTTAAACTGTTTCAAACGCTAGTGTTTTGTTTAACAAACAATAACTTTTCAAGAAGCAGACAAAATGTGTGTGTGTGTGTGTGTGTGTGTGTGCATGTGTGTGTGTGTGTGTGTGTGTCTGTGTGTATGGTGTGCCACTGTACTTTTATAGGCACCAAATGAATGCTACAACTGCATGCCATATTAAACCCTTGTCTTCCTCTGTTGTTGTTTGAGGTCGCAGAGCTTTTTCCCCCGACATCTGATCTTATTGAAACAGGTCTTCAAACATCTAGGAATTGGACATCTTCTTTAAAAAAAAGTGCTTAAAGTTATTTTTTCTCCRTTTCTCTTCTGTTGTGAATGGTAACAAAACACAGTTGAATAAAAATTGTATAACTTCTGAGAACAAATGAAAAAAATGTTTGCTTCCTTCGAGAAAGAAGGGTAAGGGTGTAACAGTTGGTTTGGACATGACCACATTGTGATGGCACACAGAACAGGTGCAGAACCAGGTGGTGAAGCTGGGGATGCGTTCAGTTTTTTTTTTTTTTTACTTCAGTTCATATAAGATCCTTCAAAAAACAAAAACCTCAATTTTCCTTTTATTGAAAACCAAAACAACTGAAAGTGTTTATTTTGCAACTCAAACAGTGTCAAAGTTGAGACAAGTTGGTGTTTGAACATTTCTTGTAAATGCAATGCAATAAAAAAGTCCTACATGCAAGTTGGAACACAGTGTGGAAAAAATATAAAACAAACAAACAAAAAAAAAAGTTAAACAGCCGACAACTCGAACAAGTCTTTAAAGCGGTGACGTCTGGGATTGTGCAACATGTTTGCACAYGTACTGCGTCTGAAAATAGTCAGGTTCTCGCATGTTTCGTGTTTTCGTTTGGTTGCTTCCTTAAAGTCAAACACAAGGCAGCTTCACAGGTTAGACAGGAAAGGCAACATAGATCTGTTTATGTGAGAAGGTAAAAGGAGAAGACAGGCCGGGCTACATGCCAGCCTTGGTCCATTTTTTAATCTTCTTCTGCTCGGCTCATTCTGAAAGGCATTTACAAGATTCCTCCCTCCTCTTTGTTTTCACTCCTTTCTTTGCAGACTTTTCTTCAAAACGTTCTCGCTTGGACTGTATGAGTGTGTTTATGTATGCTTTTATTTATGTCAGGCTGGGAATTGAGCGGCCCCTTCTTCGGGT